AGGAACCCAAATATCACTCTCATAACTGTGCCTGTAGGGTAAATATTGCTGGAGAAAGTCACACCACAGGGCAGACTGCATGCAGCATGAATTTAAGATAACTAGTCCCAGGTACGCACTTAATCCTACCTGGCAATCATTCTATCTCTCTGGCCAACTGGCTTTCTCACTCTTCCACAAGTATTCAAACCACTTCTATCATCCTCAAACCTTTTCTCTCACCCAATTTTAGCAGCTGGCCTATTTCTATTTTATAGAAATAGGAGAAGGAAGGAAGGAAAGAAGAAAGAAAGGAAGGAAGGAGGGAGGGAGGGAGGGAAGGAGGGAAGAAAAGCTGGGCGGTGGCACATGCATGTAATCCCAGAAGTTTGAGAGGCTGAGGCAGGAGGATGGCACGTTTAAAGTCAGCCTCAGTAACTTAACAAGGTCCTAAGCAACTCAGTGAGACCTATCTCAAAATATAAATAAATGAATGAATAAACAAGGGGATGGAAATGTGGTTCAGTGGTTAAGCACTCCTGGTTTAAAAAAAAAAGAGAGAAAGTGCCAACCCACAAAAATTCCCCACAACCTCATCATCTCTCCCTTTCCCTCTAATAACTGTCCTTCTTTCAATATAAGACTATTCTTTTTACTTGTACTTTCTATCTCCTCTTCACACAGAATCTTACTAATATTATCCTTTTTTCTATAATATTCAGTTTTTCTCTCAACTTGATGCTTCTTAGAAACATGTTCAAAATTATTTTTCATTTATAACCAAAATGAGACACCCTTCCCTTGAACACCACACTCTCCCTTCTAAATTTTCTATGCAGACACACTCATTTTCTGCCTACTTTCTATCCACCCTCCTTGTCCCCCACCAGTAATAAATGTGTCTTTATACAGAAATTCATTTCCCAGGCTCTGTAGCCTCAGGACCCTTACTTAATCTCATAAAATGGGAATAACTATACTAAAAACCTGTCTCATGGGACTGTTATGAGAATTAGATGAATCAATACACGTAAAAAATTCAGGACCAAATCTGGCCCATAGGCATTGACCAATAAGAGTTAGCAATATCATTATTGCCAATAATATCTCATTCCATCTACCTGGCAATCAGCTGCAAGACTGTCGTGATAGAGTCACCCTGCATTCTCTCATCCCTCCATTTCAATCCATCTCAAGATGGACTGTTGTTTTTTTACCTCTCAAGTCACTCTGGTTCTAAACACTTTCCTCCCTTGCCACTTCTTACACCACACTGTCACATGGATAATGATAAGAACCTCCTAAATGATTTTCTGCATTTATTTTTATTCTTCCAAACTTTCTCCATACCATAGCCAGAATGACCATCTGGTGACTATCTGGTTACCATGTAGTTTAAAACACTTTCCATTGCTATGAAAGTATCAATGTACTGCATAGCCTGTAAAACCACTTAAGATTTGGTCTGTACTTCCATGTTAAAACTATCTCATCTCTCACTTCTTTTGCCTAACACCTATCAAGCCTCTTTCTGATCTTTAAGTGCACTATGCTCTTGTTCATTCTACTGCTTTCCACTTTGTGCCCCTCTACTCCAATATGGAATGATATTCCTACTTCTCCAAGTCTAATTAATTCCTACTCATCTTTTATGTCTTAGCTTAATGGTAGCTTCCTCAGGGAGCCTTTCTTGACTCTCCAGAATCAGTTCTCATTTACTCCATGTATCTTTCATTACTCTTATGAAAGCTGCAATTTCTCATTTATGGTATTATTTCTCCAACAAATTCCCCCAACAGAATCCAAGCTTCACAACAGCAATGATTATATCTCTTTTTGTTTTCTATTTTATCCCAAGTGCCCAATAAACATGTGGCATGTAACTAGGTTGAATTAATATACACTGGATCAACATTAAACTTCAACTTCAAAGTTGCAAAATAGCCTATTCTAATAATGGACAGATTTAAAAGAGTACAAGGACAAGCATATCACCAGTTCATTATCTGTGTGGCTCTTGACCAAAGTTAAAAGATTCTCTATTGTTTAAAGTTAATCACTTAAAAATGATTCTAATTAAGCAATTACACAGGGAAAGGAAGAGGCAATAGAAGACTATTGTTTGGCTATTATTTTAAAGGAGTGAACAAGCAGAAAATTGTATTTCACAGCAGAGGTGAGTTTTTCTAAAGTACTGGTTCAAGCCTTTGTTCTATTCCAACAAACCTTCTATGACTGCTGCCACTGCTACTACTATTACTGCTGCTACTACTACTACCACCACCACCCCAATCAGGGCCAATTACTCCAGCTCATCCATCACCAAGTAGCTCACAACAGAAAGAATTCTCAAGCAGGTGGGAAGTTTCAGAGATAGATAAGAATCTGAAATGGCACTCCTCTGGTATTCTCTGCCTTCCCCTTCCCTTTATTGATGTTTCTTCCCCCAAATAATTTATGGCAGGAAACAGTCATATGAAGGTAATTTGTATTTAATTTACAAATGTAACTTAAGGGCCCCTGTGCCCAGCAAAAGTGTTTTTCTAACTACCAAATTAAGTGTAGTGTTACCTAAACACATAAGTCTTGGATAAGAAGAAGTGGTAATTGAGGAGGACACACAAGACCAATTTAAATGTTATATGTTACCCACACCCTGGAGGAATCTGTTTGGTAACATAAAACTATTTTATTATGACAACAAGGTTTAAAATATTAATCTCTAAAACCACAGAACTTGTGGTTCTACTGCTGCTACTACTACTACTATTACTACTAATACTACCACCACCACCACCCAAATCAGGGCCTGTGACTCCAGCTCAGCCATCACCAAGTGGCTCACAACAGAAGGAATTCTCAAGCAGGTGGGAAGTTTCAAAGACAGTAATCTGAAATGGCACTACCTATAGTACTGGCCTAAAATATCTTAATATCCATGTAATTATAGCAATAAAACTAATTCAACTGCTTAATAAGAAATTAAGTAAGAAAGTAATCTCTTAAGATTTCAAGATCTCTGAAAATTAATAAGTTTATGGAGCAACTCTGAAAATTCTGCAGATAGTATATCCACAGGGCTATTTTGAAACGAATTACTGACAATGAGCCTTTCCACAGCAATTTATAAGTGATTCCATGAAAATTGTATAAGATGCTATATATGTAGAGGTTAACACCAAAGACAGATGAATCAGCTATAACTGAAAATACACACAAACAAAAAAATAATTAAATCTATGTCTCCTCACCATTTTCTAAGATCTACCAGGGCTTTATGCCCATTAAAAAACCATGCTCACATTGTGATATGCTAGCATTTCTTATTTTGAGAAATGCTGCTACCACCTAAGCTAGGACATGGAATCACAACATGCAATTATAATTTCTGAAAAAAGAACATGCCTAATTTATTATAACTCTGAATACTCAACTAAATATTTAAAGATTTTTTTTAAAAAGGAATACTACCTCCTACTCATAGAATGAGACTTTCTTCAAAATTAGATTTTATAGCTGACATCAAAAATATGAGTTTATTTCCCTTAATTTACTTAAAAAATAAATTAGACTTTGTTTCTTTTTTAAAAAAACTATTTATCCCCAATAGATACTCAAATCTGTAAATGACATGAAAGTTCTCATGTGGTTAAAAAAAAGAAAAAAACTACTCTTGATCTTTGTTCTTTAAAGCTAAAGTATTATTTCTAGAAATCATCAAATGCAATTCAATATCTGATAAAATGACTACCTTCTAGAATATATCACTAATTTATCACTGCAAGAGACATATTAATTTACCCACAATAAGTGACTGCCTTCATATCAGCACTTTAGTTCCAACCTTTTCCAAAGGGATGGAAGAAATAAACAGTCCTCTCAGTGGAAAAGGCCACAAAATCAGGGCTACATAAATCTATGCTAATCAGTGGTTAATTATACATTTTTCACAAATACTAAAGAAGAACACTGACCACTATGCCAGGAGAGAATGTGTATCTGACATACATATTAATTTGCATACAATGGACATTCTCAATTAATTACAACTAGTAGAAATGATATTTTTTCTTAAGAAAGCCAATGCTCAAAGAGCTTTGCACACACTGATTATCCCATTTTTATATGCGTTAAAACGGAAAAATTCTCTTATTTAAATTGCCTAGTTGAAAAGCCCTCTTTATGTAATAATGTTAATAATCATGATTACTAAATATTGTAATAATGCCCTAATTTAATTTTCTGCACAATGTGGTAGGATTTTTTGTTGTCTGTTTTGTAATCACCAATACTCCACCCACATTCACACCCAGAGACTAAAGCAAATTATCATTCTTTAAATACTCTCAAATATAAAGCCAGACTTCAGGAAATACAGTATGAACACATAAGCCTCAATGTTAGAAGTTATTTGAATAATTACAAGGATCTCTGTAGATATCTGCTTGTCATTTAAGAACCAACTGTGGACGTCAACCAAGAAAGACAAGGACACTATTCAATATACATTCCATTGAATTTTCCTAAAAGCTTTGATCAGGTCCCCCTGAATAGTTCATGCATGTCTCTGTGTGCAATCACACACGTTGATCTGGGATAGTTAAAAATGAAAATGATCAAGGTTCTGCTTGTCTAAAAATACACCAATCTGGTTTATCAATGTAAAAGCAAATCTGCAAAACTCAAATGTCAAATGGTGGGCTAAGGTATCATAACAGAGAATCTGATAGGTTCCTTAAGGTAGCACCAAAAGGGAGTCTAATCCTTCTCTCCTGGGAGAGATACTTAAGAAGGTGGATGACAGGACTCCGCGACACCCACACGTCGGTCACATCGTTTTCTCCCCCAACCTCACCTCACTCTTTCCTTCACACATATACACTCACTCTCCCATCACATTCGATGCCCAAGTGCCCCAGTGGGCAGTTTTCTAGGGTCGTTTCACCGGTGCGTTAAATGGGATCTAACGCCCCCCAGTAGCCTGGGATTGAATGCCATCGCTGCCAGCCCCCAGGACTCACCTCTAGCTTGTGATTGATTTGGGACACAGTCTGGGCTTTGTGGCAAAGCTGCGCGAAGCAGGAGCTCAAGCTGGTCATCTTCTGTCGCCCCTCATAAGTGATGTCCGCTTGGTCAGGATCGATCTCTCCCAGAAGCAGATCCACATCCACAAAGGCCTTGTCGAACTCCTTCTCCAGCACCTCCAGCCACCGGAACATGGATACCCCGCCGGGAGAGACCCCAACAGCGCAGGAGGCGCCCCCTGGGCCCCCTCCGGCTCCTGCCGGGCATGGGCCGCCCGCCGACATGGCGCCGTCTAAGGCCTCCCCAGACTGCTGCTGACCCTCGCCAGCCACACACCACGCGAGGGGAACTGCTGGGACTACCCGGACCCCAGCGCGCGAACACACGCTCCGTCAGTCCCTCCTTTCCTCTCGCGCCGCTAACGCCGGCAATGCAGTCCCACGGTGGCAGGAGCAGCGAGGACAGGGCAGCTGCGGCCGCACACGGAAGACTCGGGCCGTCCCACCTCCCGGCCCGCCCCCGCTGCGCATGCGTAGAGAAGAGCCGGGCGGGCGGAGACCGGAGGGACGAAGTGGGCGGGGCCGAGATGCGACCTTGGCCTATGACAGGATTCGGCCCGGGACCAGTCTGTCAGCGGCCATATTGACAACTGGCAAACCCTCGCTCGATTCCCAGAGAAACGGAGGCGCATGGTGTCTGCTGCCAAGTTGGAAAGACCCGAAGGAGAGAACCGTGTCCACGTCGCAGAAACGAATGGCTTTCGCCAGTTTGACTTCACAGTGGGCGGGAGCGGTTCCAAAGCCTCCTGGGAAAGTTGCTGCAGTGGCGTCCAGGGGCAGAAAAGGGAGAACAGAGAAGGGCGGTGTGAGCATGCGCTGAGAGCCACGTTTTACCTTTTCCATTCCAGTTCCTGTTTAGGGTGGGGTGGGTGGATATCCAGGCTCTTCTTGGCAAGCCGCGTTCTACATTCCAGTTAGGGACTTCCTAAAGCTGCCCGTTGAAGCTGGCTCACCAGGTTTTGCTGATTAAAGAGTCAGACAGGCCTGGGTTGAAGTTTTTACACCCCATCACGTAGTAGCCTCCACACCTAAATTGTATTATTTAACCTGTAATCCTAGTTTCCAAAATTTATTTCATTCAGCACAAAGGTAAAATGTTCAGCTTCGTTGCTTGGCAGATGGTATTAATCTTATTACACCATCGGTTACACATTTCTAAAGCAACTACTTTACATGGCGTAATTATTTTTAAAACAATTATTTTTTAATGTTCCCATTAGTGACATTTCAGAAAAACAAATGTATGTGGGCAAAGAGGAAACACTTGGAAATGATATTGGCCAAATTATTATATTTTGTGCGTGCAAGACTACGTAACAACAAAATCCACCATTATGTTTATAATGCACCAATAAAATACGCAAAAAATTATGAAGATTCATATATTCATAAATATATCGAATACAGACCCCAGTTGAGGCATTAAGGACACAAAAACTAATGAAACATGACCTTTACTCAAACTGAGCTCAGGCTAGTGAGGGTGGCTCTCACAACGACAGCTTTAAATTTTGCATGCATTTAGGAGCATGGAGCAACTGCTCTTTGCATTCCACCTACTCTCTCTCTCTCTCTCTCAACCCTCTTACAGTCCAAGAGTACAAAGTGTTGGAAAGGGAAGGAGAAACCAGTCTGATTAGAGTAGGCTGGTAGAAATTGTCTTTCCTGCATTGCCTAGGGGAGTATTTAGGGACTGAGTACAGAATCTTCTGTGATCCGTTCTTGGGACAGACCCTTCTATAATTAATCATCAACCAAAGCTTGTACTGTGTGCCCCTCGCCAACCGCCAACGCAGCACCAAAGAGAAACAAGAAATCAGAGTTTCAGTTTGCACTTTGATTACTTCAGCTGCTGGTTAGCATCAAGCAATAAACTTCTTTGGCTTCAGCAAACTTAGTTTAGCAAAACTAACCATAAGATCCTTTCCTTGAGCTTCACACAGGTCTTAATACACTAGAAACAATATAAAATTAAACTTTACATCTCACCCCGTTTTCTTCCAAAATTAGCCTTATTTTCATCTGCAGTGTTTGCAAGAATCATTGCTAGAGGTACCAGACTCCCCACCTTCTCTACACTTAACAATACATTTTCAGGAACTTGAAGTAAAAAGTTTAAAATTTGTGGGAAAGGAAGGGAAATTAAAGGGAATAACAACTTTCAATCATTGGGTATGTAATATGTGTTAGGCATTGTCCTAAATGCTTTACTTTGATCCTCACAAAATCCTGTCAGGTGGATATCATCACTTTTTTAATAGATGAATCACAGAGAGCTTAAGTATCTTGGTAAGGTCACACAGCTAGAAAGTTCAGTCGAGGAAATTTTTACTCTAAAATCTTTGCTGTTAACTATGGGATACAGAGAACTGAGGGAATCCATTTCTTCTTGCATGAGTTTCCAGTATAATAAATTAGCAAGTGAGTTCCAAAAGATTTTTTCAAAAAAGTTCTTCCCAGTTATAAGCTATATACAAATCTAATAACATATAAGAAATATTAATAAAGAGTAATTGGATACCCATTTTCTATTACTCATGCTCTCTGTAGTTTATATAGCCCACACTTGAATATAATCTTTAAAAATATATATATATATATATATATAAATTCAATTTTCAACTATATTGTGTGGGTGCAGCTGAGCTACACTTTAAGTATTTATGTGTCCAGTGCTCTGATGGTTGACCCATACCCCTATTTTCAGAATTGCTGAACCCAACTCCACTTCTGTTAAAATCTCACAAGTCACACCCTCTTGTGTTTCAAAATAATTTCTTGTCATTATCCTTTCTGCGTAGCAGCTGCTGTATTCTTCTGTGCTTGCCATCTTGTTACTACATGACCATTTCAAATGTTCATGAGATGCTTTAATATGATATTTGCCCACGGAAATTGTGGTTTTGCAATTCTGCAAGTCACAGCAGAACATAGAAATGGAAAAGAGGGCTTGGTATTCAAGTGCTGCCATCTGTTGTCAATGTACTCTATCTACATTTATTGTCTTCACCTTAGAAACTTGGAATTGTACTTAATCTCTGTTTGTGTAATTAGATTTCCAACAGATTAAAAAAATCTTATATTTGTAGTTGGAGTGGCATAAACTTATAAAAACTGTTTCATAAATTATGCTTTTGTGATTTAAAACAATCTAATATAAATAAAATATGACAATCTTATCCCTACACAGTTTTGCCATTAAAAACAAATAGGACCTGGCATGGTGGCTAGTGCCACCAACCACTCAGGAGGCTGAGGCAGAGGATTGCAGGTTCAAAGCCAGCCTTAGCAATTTAGTGAGACTGTAAGCAATCTAGTGAGACCCTGTCTCAAAAATAAAAAATAAAAAGGGCTAGGATGTGGCTCAGTGGTTAAGCACCTTTGAGTTCAATCCCTGGCACCAGGAAAAATTTTTAAAAGGAACAAATAGGGTGGGAGACTGAGGAAAATGAGGAAATAGAGAAGATACTAACAGTTTCTTTGATGGGTGTTGGTCATTAGTTGTGAGATATAAAGATACTTGTAGAGCACCATTAACTTCAAAGACACCATAAACAACATATACCCACCTTGGACAGGAGAGGGAGACTATCAATTTATTCACCTCTTCTATGTTCCAGGTTCTATGCTAAGCTTCACTTGTTTCAATTAATTTCCAGTAACTCTAAAAGAAAAAGGAAAAGCAGTTATTAAGTGTTATTGGTGGTTATAAAAAGATGTATGATGAATGACTATAGTCAAGAAAATCCATTGCCACTTTACTTAAACAATGTGGAACAATCTTGGAATACTATGCTTATATGTATTATTTATATTTATTAAATTTATTATTTATGTTTGCAAACAATTTGAAATAATCATGCTAAAGAAGTAAATTTGAGTGTTCTAAAGTGATTTATTATCCTCATTCTCCTTGTTATTTTTAATATAATGGGATAATTGTTTGTTCCCTGGTTTATAAAACTTGAGAATTTTCGTGGAATTATTTAAGAGTAGCTTAGATACCTTCTTACTTCTCATGTGAAGCTATGGACTACATCACTATTTAGTTTTTTGCAAATATCTGCTGTAGCAATTGTCATATTCTTTTGGAGCCCCATCGACTGCAAGCCCCTTACTTATCTGTATCTTGCTTATCTTGGAACCTTAGGTGCTAACACAGGATCTGGAATGTAGCAGGAATGTTATAACTGTGGAATAACTTCAGTAATGAGATTTTCCAGCAATATATGTAGGAAATTCTACAGTCGCTTTTTAAGACATACTTTAGATACATGCTAGAGAACATAGCAACGTAGACTTTGATATTGTCTTGGGGGTTAGGGATATCTATAAAAAATTCATCAATTTCTAAAATTCAAGGAATATTTTTCTCAACCAAAAAAAGATGGCTTACTTTAACAATGATCTGGCTTATTTGACTAACAAGTCAAATATAATTTAGATATCAAAAATTATTTTACCTATTTCATAGTTAAAACAGATACTACATTTTGTATGGTATAGTCAAACCTAAAAACAAAACTATTTTAATCCCTGTTACTACAGTTGTATTACTTTACAAGATTAAAGATAGACTCTAAATGCTTTTCCACTGTTGCTTGATCTACATTCACATTTATCCTTTCCCACAGCTCCAGGTTTGATTCAGCATTATTGAGAAACACCTTTTATCAACAACGATATTAAAATTTACTACTTATTGATTCTTCTTCTTTCACCTACTGCCAAGTCTTTGTTTATTTCTCAGATTGTCAGACTTTACAGATCAAACACATACACCCCCACTAGCCTTTGTCAATTATGGTTTTTATAGATTAGTCCTACAAGGACCTCCCAAACAGGTTAATTCTAAGCCCTCTCAACATTAATTATCTTTTCTTTGCACTTTTATAAAAAAATATAAGAATAAATTATCTGGTTAGAATTTGTATAGTCTTCTAAATTAGCAAGTTAGAAAAATTATAGTGAAACAGTTACAGAAAAAGTCACGCCACAACAGTTGTTGGAAATATATTTGTTTTGTCTCTAGTTGGTTGTAACTTACTAAAAATTTGTTTGGTTTTTGTGGCCTTGGCGAGCAGAGTGAATGAAGGCAAAAAGACTTCTCTAATGAAAATTTGTCACTACATATGGGGACTGTCTATATTTGAACTTCCTTCCTCTGTGTAGGGAATTTCCTACCTTGTGTATCTCCTTGGTAGGAGATAGAGCCCTTCCATAATGAACAGGAAATGTAAATCCCTTTCCCAGCTCTGTGACAGCTGGACCAAGGCTCAGCTAACTAGAATCATCTACCTGAAGTTTTAACATGGAGTTAATGAAGTAGGGATCAGGAAAATTATCCTTGATAGGGAGTAGAGAGGAAAGTGGAGATAGAGACATCCAATTTAATCAGTTCTACTAATGAGGGTTTTCAATTTCTGGTTATGGTAGAGACTGGGTGACCAATGTTC